TGTCAGCGTGAGACAAAGAGAGAGCGAGAGCGTGTCAGCGTGAGACAGAGTGTGAGATCGAGAGTGTGTCAGCATGGGACAGAGAGAGCGCAAGATCGAGAGTGTGTCAGTGTGAGACAGAGAGAGTGAGAGCGTGTCAGCGTGAGACAGAGAGAGTGAGAGCTTATCAGCGTGATAGAAGGACAGAGAACGAGAATGTATCAGCATGAGAAAGAATGTGTGAGTGCGAGAAAGTGAACGAGAGTGAGAGTGCAATAGAGAGCGAAAGCGTGCGAGGGAGAACGAGAGCATGAGAGTGCAGGGAAGAGCAAGAGCGAGAGAGTGAGAACGCGAGCGCACGAGAGACAGCGCAAGCTGGTGAGAAAGAGCAAGAGTGTGAGAACAAGTATGGGAGTGTAAGAAACAGGTGTAAGAAGTGGGATGAAAGAAGTACATGTTTTACCACACTTGGCCTGGGCTTAAATTATTCACGTATTTTAGTGTTATCCAACAATTCTTGAGCAGGAAAGGGAAAACGCACAGCATAAAATCAACTCAGTTAGCTATTACATACCTCATCCATGTGAAACATTGTAAGGACAAAAGCCCAGGACTAAACCAATTGTCTACGCAGTTAACCACAGTCAGTGAAAACGGAAAAATCAAAGTATAAAGAGGAGGAAAATAGTAACTTAATAATTCTGGAGTACCATTCGCTTTGCTAAAGATATTTCAGAAATTTCCAAATCCAGAATATTTTATTTCATTTCCTATCATTTTAAAACTATTACAGAAAATGCATTAGCCATGTAAATTAAAAACATTCTCTTGCCAATAAACCAGACCACATCACATACAGTTTATGGAAATGCAGGAATTTTTATACTGCACATTTCATTTAATAACATTCATGTTATTGTCTGGATATAATTAATAAGATTATTGATTGTTGTTGGTGTTTCACTTCTTTGGTTACTGAGGCATGATCGATGTTTATAAAACTAATAATATAGTTCTGTTGTACATTTATCTGAATTGCGCAGGTATGCATGAGATATCTTGTTCCCTTGTTACAGATTCCATCATCCTCCCTAGTCACTACAGATGATGTGCAAGTTGCACACGCTTTTTAAACACTCACAACCTCAAATCCCCTTCACAACAATGACTGCCTGCCACCATTAGCTAACTTTGCCAATGTTTCAGCCTATCAGTTAAAATACTCATCCGTACACGTGTTGCCCACAGATTCAATTAATCTGATGCTCTCTTGGCCAGCTTTTCATTCTCCATAGCTCTGAGCTTGCCCATTACATTGCTGTATGCATTCTAACATTGATCAAGTCCTGCTCATCAGAGATTTGGGACAGGTTCTGTTCCAATTTAACAACCACTGTCGCATCTGCCATTTTTGCATTAAAAAGAAAACGACTGCATCTGAATCTTTAAATTGGCCAGGAAGGAGTGAGAGCTGGAATCCAGGATAAGGTTGGGAACTTAGATAGTTTTTTAAAATGTTGTTGCTGTTCAATAGATTTTCGTCAAAACTTCCTGTTCCCGACAGGGTGCAGTCCCTCAGTTTTATATCTCTGCCAACGGCCATCCGGCCCTTTGAATACCGAGTTTTAAAGGTGACCCCAAGGACTGGATTGATTAATGTGTCAGTTAACAATGCAGACGGCCTCATGGACGCTTCATGTTAGAGAATACCACAGAGTATTCTGATGGTCAATTAAGAAAAGGCTTGACCTGTATTGCACATTACTGTTCCACAACACATCTCGGTGCTCAGCTGAGAGGTACCAAATATCGGGTTATCAATGCCAGGGGAAAGATCGAAAAGGGACCTAATGGGCAAATTTCTCACACGGAGGGTGGTGCGTGTATGGAATGAACTGCTAGAGGCAGTGGTGGAGGCAGGTACCATTACAACACTTAAAAGGCATCTGGATGGGTACAAGAAAGGTTTCGAGGGATATGGGCCAAATGCTGGCAAATGGGACTGGATTAATTTAAGATATCCGGCATGGACAAGTTGGCCCCAAGGGCCTGTTTCTGTGCTGTACTTTTAAAACTCTAAGAGACGTTATGGTGCCAACTGGATACTGGAGCAAATTGGAAACGGACTGCGTGGTACTGCATTCTGTAAGACAGATTTCAAATGGTGAATGAAACATCCCAAGTAACGAATCTTCTGAGATGGAAAATTTAATAGTGCATCCCTTAATTACCTAGGACTGTAAAGTAAGATTCTGCATCAAAATTTAACAGTATATCGGACAACAGGGTTGAACAAAGAGGCAAAAGCTACCCAACTGTGCTAAATATTGATTCTTTCAAACTGTGAAATGACAACAAAGGAATCAACACAGAAGGAAAATTTAAGGGCTTGCACACTAGCCTGTTGTGTAATATTGGGTTAATTGCTCTGCACTTAATAGTTCCCACAATGTTACCATCACAGCATCAAGTACAGGTTCAACAACAAAGGAACGTGACCACTCCTCATTTTTATTCACATATTATATGAAGTATACTGTGAACAAAATCACCAAATGAATCTAGCAACTAAAGTGTTAAATGTAAAGCTCCTTTCTTAAGTTCAACTTATGTTATGAAGTAGGATACAGTACTTGAGAATAGGAAGGCA